ACCAGCTCTGAAATGCGGTACCCTAGTTTCTGTCCTTATCTGTTTATATTACCTGTGCAACCTTGGACAGATGGCTGTTTCCCAAAAAATCTGATAAATAAAAATATGTATTTCTTAACTGTGATGAATCAATAATGTATGTAGAGGTTTTCCATAGTGCCTAACCCAACTCATCACTCACAAATAAGCAATGGTTTTCAAATAGAATTCTGGCTAAATTAGGAAAATAAACTGGGAAATAGGGGCCCGGTACAGTGACCTAGTGGCTAAAGTCCTCACCTTGAACGCTCCAGAGTCCCATATGGGCACCAGTTCTAATCCCGGAAGTCCTACTTCCCACCCAGCTCCCTGCTTGTGGCCTGGGAAAGCAGCCAAGGATGGCCCAAAGCCTTGGGACCTGCACCCACATGGGAGACCTGGAAGAGCTCCCATCTCCTGGCTGTGGATCGGCACAGCACCAGCTGTTGCAGTCACTTGGGAGTAAATCATCAGACGGAAGATCTTCCTCTCTGTCTCTCCTCCTCTCTCTATATATATATGGTTTTGCAATAAATAAGTAAATAAATCTTTAAAAGAGAATGGGAAATAGAAAGGCCCATAAAAAACAAAGACTATCTTTAATCTTTTGATAAAATCATAACCACCTCAGTAAAAAGCACACAAAAGCTTAAAATTAACTGCACTTGGATATAGATGTAACATTCTACAATGAAATGACAGTAACAAAGGAATTATCGTTGTGGCATAGAAGGTTATGCTACTACTACCAGCAATGTCAGCATCCCATATGGGCACAGGTTCAAAACTGGGTTGCTCCACTTCCAGTTCAGCTTCTTGCTAATGCACCTGGGAAATCAGTGCAAAGTGGCTCATATTTTTGAGCCCATGCACTGGTGTGAGCGACCCAGTTGAAGCTCCTGGCCCCTGACTTTGGACCAGCCCAGCTCCAGTCTTTGTGGCTTTCTGGGAAGTGAATCTGTGAGTCAAAGACCTTCTGTCTCTCCCTGCCTCTCTCTCTCTCTCTCTCTCTCTCTCTGAAATTCCACCCTGCAGATAAAATAAATAAATCTTTAAAAAAGAAAAAACTAAGCAAATATCATTCTTGAAGGATATCTATAAGCTCCAAAACTGCTCTGTTTCCAAGGTAACTCCATTTTACTCCGGAGCAGGGGAGTGAGAGAGTGGTCTTTTGGGTCAGAACTTCAACAATCCACACTGCTATGATCACCAAACATTGGGCCAGCATGTGGGCAGCTGGCTTAGCCCCCAACCAATGTGCTAGCTCCAAAAGCCTCAAAGACAACATCCTGTTTCACTCTAATCATAAACAAATAAAGCAAGACAAATCAAAAAAGGCCACTCATTTCAGCCCCCAATTTCAAGTGCTTGCAAATCCTGCCCCAATATCATTCAGACCGATACCACCTGTAGCGTCTAGTCCCTTTCCCAGGTTGGAAAGTGAATAAAGCCTAAATACTCGGATCTCATGAGCTTTTTCCCAACCCATTCACTGGCCATACAGACCAGCCTTTCGATAGCTGCTATCACTGCTTAACAGTGTTTTCCTGGATGTCATATGCAGAACAGTGATACAAGAAACAAGTATTCAGTCAAACAAGTCATACAAAAAACAGCCATACAAGAAACAAGTATACACACTAAAAAATAAAAAACACTCTAATAGTTTGGTTACAGACAGCCTGAGTAGCCAGAAAATCAGAGGCAAGATCATCAACTGGGAAAACTATTTGAACTAACATTCAATGATCAGGGTAAGCATAGAAACAGTATTTAATGAGATGGCTTGATAATAAAAACATCTATAAAATTCAGTAGTTTATTTATCAGCAGTAATTGTATCAATCAGGATTCTTGGTTATAAGAAACTAATTAGATGGAATCAATCTCTCTCTCTCTCATTTTCCTTCTCTCTCTCACACCCCCATCTTTAAGGTAAATATTTTTTTAATCCTTTAGAAAGGAAACACAGCAAATCTTTCCCACACAAGAACGTCTTTCACTGTTGTTAATGCATATGCATTTTTAATCTCTAAATTTTATAGATCAAAGTTCGTAAGAATATCTGATTACCCAAAGCAAAATCAAATGACAACTCATTGGTGACCACAATCAGGGACAACAAGGAGTGACCCTTTTGAGAGTGGAACATGTTGGGCCAGTGGGCCATACAAGGCCTGGGAAAATACTGGGGACTCAAACTTCAACAAATCTATAGAAGACTAATCTTGAAGCTAAAATTTTTGTATGACAGTTAATTAATAATTTTTGCCTGGGCTGGGGATGGGAAAGCACCCAACAAGTGTACCTGAGACCTGGGAGGAAGGGAACAAGCCTGGCAGAGGGCAACAAGGGGCTCCCCTGCTGGATCACTGGACAGCATGAATTGGGATGGGAGCAAACCAGGCCGGGCAGGACTACAACACTTGTTAGCCTCATGGGAGCTGGATCAGGGAAAAGTTGGACTGGATTAACTGTTCCTTCTGGTGCATGCATAAGTCAGAGTGGGTGTGGGTTGGTTGGGCTTTGCCACAGCATCAGCTGGCATATGCTGGCACAGGGGCAAATTCTGTCAATTAAAACTGCAGAACCACCTGGAGAATACAAGATCTAGGAGTTGGAGGTAGCCAGTAGGGAAACAGTGAGTGTCTCCTTTTTGGGTTGCCACTCTCACTGGTGAGCCTGAGAACCAGGACTGGGATAGGCATGGCTAGACAGAGTGTGGCACCCACCAGCACATGTGTGTGGGCTGGATAGTGGGGCTGGTTGGGTTGAACTAGGCTTCGATGCCCATTGATATATAGGAGAGCTAAATGGATTGTGGGACAGACTGGACTAGTCTGCTGTACACACTGGCAAGCATGGGAACCAGGGCAGAAGGCAGGCCTGGTGGGGGTTATTGCAGGTTGCTCCAACTAGGCTGCAGCTCCCAATGGTGTGTGTGAATGCCAAGTGTGTGGCGGGCAAGATTGGGCTGGACTGCAACATCCATTGGTTTGTGTAGAAGACAGGGCTAGAGGCAGAATTGACCCCTCAAATGCAACCACCAGCATGTGTATAAGTTGACTGGGGCGACAGACTGTGCCGGACCCTGTTTTGGCAAGTACACACAAGAATCAGGTCTGGGATCACCTCAGATAAAGTTTCTATGGGGATCCCTCCAACTAAAGGAAGGAGACAAGGAGGGAAGCCACACCCAGCCTCCTAAACGCCTCTGCACCCTGGGAGGGAGGACAGCCACACAGCAAACAAAAATGCTTTTAACTGCTGCTGTCTGAAAGTCAGAGAAGGCCACGAAGACAATGTCCTGGTTTTTGCCTTCTTTCAGAGTTACAGGGTCCTGTGCCTTATGTCAGCTTCACTACCTGCTATGAGTCAGCTGAGGATAAACAAAGACTCCAACTCCAGTTGACAATGTTTCCTTTTGCTTACACATGGCTGGTGTCATTTATTTATCATACTCCATTGGGCTGCCTTCCTGTGGGCATTTAGATTATGATCTGGAACTTTTTAAAGATGTAAATGTTTATTATACTCAACATGCTACCAGGAAATTAACTACTGGATGAGGTCACTTACAGAAGTTCATGGGTGTTGGAAGAGAGTGGAATTAAAAGATAAGTTCATTTTGCCATGACCTTGGAGGTACCCAAACACATGCAAGCAAAGTTCCCGATAGCAGAGAGCAGAGCTGCTTCACAAAGAGGAAAGCAAATCCATAGAGAAATCTTTTTGCATTCTAGTAAGTCTAGTCCTGACGATTTGCTTCATTTCAATTCATATTCTGCAATAATTCCCTTTATTTTTCCTGTTTCAACCAAAAGAAGGACAAAGAGAAAGATAAAGCATTCTTTTGTAAGGTTCTGAGATCCTAGATTCCAAGAACACACTCAGAGACCTGATGAAGCTCCAAAATCAGGAGCCATGCTCAAGAAAAACTGGAAAGAGCATGATGAAGAAAAGGCTGCGTGTCTCCAACTCTGAGTCACTGCAAGAAACAATTAATTACCAGGCGCCCCAGAGAGGGAAGAAGGTATCTAAAAACTCTCAGGTTCCAATGCTCGGGAATAGAGTGAGACTGGAGACTACCGGCAGTGTTTTCCAGGGAGCAAGGTCCTGGGGGGCATCCCACACAAGCTCGGGGTGCAGCACCCCTGTCAGAACCAACCGCTGGCTCTGCAGCCAGCAGAGCACAAGTCCCCAGACCCCTCAGCTGAAGCTAAAACTCAGTTTGTGCAGCTCTGCTAATCTCAGGAGGCGCCTGAAAAAGCATCTCGCTAAAAGAGAACTCCCAGTGCTTAACACAGCAAAAGAGCAATGAACAGGAAAAACATCTGACTTATTTGAAGCACAATCATCTGGAAGTGTTTACCCCTCCTGAAAACAGAAGCAAAACCTATGAGCCAAAATTAAAAAAAAAAAAAAATTGGGGGGTGACATTTGGCATAGCAAGTAAAGCCACTGCAAGCAACACCAGTGTTCTATATAAGCACTGGTTGGAGACCTGGTTACTCCACTTCCAAGCCAAGTCCCTGCGAATGCACCTGGGAAAACAGCATACTATGGCCCAAGTGCTAAGGCCCCTGTGCCAGCAGCATAGGAGACCCACATGAAGCTCCTGTTTTCTGGCTCCAACCTGGACCAGTCCTGGCCATTGCAGCTACTTGGGGAGTGAACCAGTGGGTGGAAGATCTCTGGCTGTAATTCGTTCAAAATAAAAAGTTTTGACCCGAGTTTGAATCCTTTAAAAAAAAAAAGTGAAAGGGAAAATAAATGCATCTCGATTTAATGTGGATTTTTTAAAATAAGTGTATCCATAGGTTCATGAAAAAAAACCATGTGAAGCTTTGTAGTGACTGGGTATTTGAAATGAGGGAGAAAGCCGGGCTCCTCTCGCGGGGATTGGCTGTTGGCGGAGTTGCAGCTGGGCTCCTGTGCAGCGACGGTGTCGGTAGTGGCTGCAAAGACCAGAGTTTGGCGCGATGTCTCACACCGTTTTGCTGGTGCAGCCGACCAAGAGACCAGAAGGCAGAACGTATGTGGACTATGAGTCTGTGAACGAGAGCATGGAAGGTGTTTGTAAAACGTACGAGGAACATCTGAAAAGAATGAATCTCAACAGTCCATCAATCACGTATGATATCAGTCAGTTATTTGATTTTATCGACGATCTGGCAGACCTCAGCTGCTTTGTTTACCTGACTGACACCCAGACACATCAGCTTTATAACAAAGACTGGATCAAAGAGAAGCTCTCCGTGCTCCTCCGCAGGCCCAGCAGGCGGGAAAGTAATGGAAATGGCCACAGCATGGGGCTGGGGGCTGGCTTGGAACACAGGTGTGTACAGCCAGCTGTAGTGGGGGGGTTGTATTATAGTAATCCTGTTTCCATTTTGTTACACTCTAGCCAAGATTGAATGTATTACAGGAAGCAAGGCTCTTGTTCAATGTGCAACCCCCATTGCCTCTATTTTTTTTTTCACTTAAAACATTTTTATGAGGATTTAGATGGAGATTTTTTTTTTTGTCAGTTAATATTGAATATTGGTTCCAGACTGTTGAGATCTGCTTTTAGAACAGTCACTATACTGGCCCTTGGAGACGGGATGGGGGGTGGCTCAGTTTAGTTATGTCCTCAAGACAAACTTAGTGGAAAATAAATGTTCTTTAGTTATAAAAAGAAAAAAGAAAGAAGAAGAAATGAGGGAGAAGGGATCTGACCACAGAGTCCGAAGTTGGAGGAAAATGTGTGTGAAGTCTCTTGGGGCAGATGCTGTATCAGTAATGGGAACAGTGAGGGCTGTTCTCTTAGCCTGCCCAGAAGTTGAACTCTGGCTCCATTATTTTATTTACTTGGCTGTGTTCAATATTTACCAAATATATTACCTTGGGCAAGTTATTCAACTTCTCTGAGTATCAGAATCCATAAAGAAATCATTATTAATTGATAAATAATCAATAAAGTAGAAACTGTGCTATTGTAATTATAAAACAATCGACGCATGGCACTTAGTCAAATGCTTGTCATATAGTAAGCTTTCAGTCCATAGACCATTATGATAATTCAATCACTCATTTGAAGGTTTTTCACTTTGGAAATAACAGGTTGGTGCATAGCACACACTAATTCTAGTTCACATTCCAAATGGTTGCAATGTCACAGCTGGGCCAAGCCAAAGCCAGGAGCTTCATCTGGGCCTCACACACGGGTACAGGAGCCCAGGGCTTGGGGTAGTCTCCCACTGCTTTCCCCAGTGCATTATCAGGGAACTAGATTGGAAGTGTAGCAGCCAGGGCACAAACCAGTGCCCATGAGAGGCCAGAGGCATAGCTAACTATGCCACAATGCTGGCCCCAGAATGTTTTTTTTTAAGTATATATACCAAGTGTACTTTGCTTCAAACACACCCTGACATATGGCTTTGAGGTCCGTCAGCCTCCCATGTCCACCAGTTCTGCAGAAGGGCAGAAACCACACTCCTCAGACACACGCACTCGGGCCTCCCTTTAAGGAGCTCCAGCAAGCTGGCCTCCCAGCCTCAGGTCCTCATCCTTGACTCTGAATAAACTCAAACTTTGAACAGGTCTCCGACCTAGCAGCCAACATGCCCACCAGGATGCCCAAACCCCACGTGGAAGTACCCGAGTTAGACTCCTGATGCGATCACTGCTCCCATAGACCCCGCGAGGCTGTGGTGACAGTGCTAGTAGCTTAGTTCCTGAGTCTCTCGTGGTGGATGGACACTTTCTCCCCACTCTCTGCCTCATGAGTAGGCAAAGTGTGTGTGTGTGTGTGTGTGTGTGTGTTGAACAGTCTCACTTCATTCCAGTCAGCACTAACTATATCTCATTCCATACTTCTCCATGTCACTACCATTTCATTTCTGAAACTACAGTTATGCCCCACGGTTAGATTCCACACTTCCTTCCAACTCACAGACATTCATTCTACAAGTTTTGAACTGAGAGCTTCCGATGTATGCAACCACACAATTATTCCATCACCCCTTTGCTAAGCACTTTGTCATCACTCTCTGTCAACTAGGTATCAAAGATGACCAGCTGCCATCAGCTTCATGACCTTTCTCATTTTCTCCTAAAAGCCTGGTAAAAGGTGCATGTTCACATACTCCTGGGAAGGATCTGGAGTCTGCTGAAGCAACCTGCGACACATGAAATTTTCATTAAGATCTTTTCACCCTAAATGTTGTGAAAAGTGTGAACCCTGACCCTGATCAGTCTGTTTCTTCTACCAGCACAAATATTTTCTGCCCAGGAAGATGCACTATGCATACCCTCACAGGTGTTATGGCCCCTACTGGAAGAAGTAAACCCCCCTGTCCAGCTGTAGGCAGCTGCCTAGGCTGCCTTGTACCCAGGCAAGTGTTACACAGCTGGGAGAAAAGCAGCCAATAGCTGGCAAGCATTTGGACCCTGGTTAGTGCCAAATTTGTCCTAACTATACCAGTGTGTCAGCATAGTTGTTTATCATTATTATTATTTTAAGATTTATTTATTTTTATTGCAAAGTCAGATATATAGAGAGGAGGAGGAGAGACAGAGAGGAAGATCTTCCATCTGATATTTCACTCCCCAAGTGACCACAACAGCCGGTGCTATGCTGATCCAAAGCCAGAGGCCAGAAGCTCTTCCAGGTCTCCCACGCAGGTGCAGGGTCCCAAGGCTCCGGGCTGTCCTCAACTGCTTTCCCAGGCCACAAGCAGGGAGCTGGATGGGAAACGGGGCTGCCAGAATTAGAACCAGCATCCATATGGGATTCCAGTGCATTCAAAGCAAGGACTTTAGCCACTAAGCCACCATGCCAGGCCCTATTATTATTTTTTTAACGTATGTGGGGAAGCCAGGAAACGCTGGGCTAGGACATACCACCCAGACCCCAAGATGGGGGGGGGGAGGGTTTGGAGGAGGAGCTGCAGCTTGCCTGGGGAAGGAGTCTGGGAACACGTTAGAATGAGTGGCTGAGGACATGTTTGACAGGAGAGGAATAACTTCTGGAGTCTTCTATGTACTGAGGCCACTGCACTTGCAGGTAGGCAAGGTAGCTGAGATGGAGTGGCTTAGATGGGGAAAACCAGAAGGCATGTCTTGGTTCAGACACCCTAACCTACGTGGGAGACCTGGGCTGAGCTAAGTAGTATTGCTGGTGGCCCATTGGTACATGCAAAAGCTGGGGCTGAGGACATGCCTGACTGAGCTAGGTCACAGTACCTGTTCACAAGTGTTGGAGCAAGGAATGGGCCACAGCAGGCTGGACCACAGCATCCACCAGAACACAAAAGAGCTGAAGCTGGGGGCAGATTCTGTAGGGCATTTGTGGGCTCACCAGCACCCCATTGGTTTACATGGAAAGCTGGGTATGGTGACAGGCCAAGCCAGGCTGGACCACAAAATTCACCTCACAGGAACCACCTGGCCTGGGAACCAGGTTTGGGAGGAAGCCTGGATACACTAAAGGTAGAATTTGTCAACCAGTAGACCTTGGAAAGATTTTTCTCAACCGTGAAGCAACAAAACCAACAGCTTCTCAGAACCATCAAAACCACTCTACTTAACAGCCTCAGAATACTCTTCCCCATATTGGGGTTTCAAAGCCTTCATCAACGGACTGTCCCTCTTCCTGGGTGCTGATGTAGTTTGATTGCAAGGAGCAGCCCCTTCCCCTCCTCTTGTGGACACAGGAGAAAAAAAAAAATGAAACATTTGTGCCACCCACCTTCCCCCATACCTGCCCCTCCCCATGCTAACTGAAGGCCCACATGAACGTGCATCCTTCTCAGTTATGTAAATAATAGTAAAAACAAAACAAAATGATTTTTTTAAAATGTCTGTCTCTGTAGGGGCCTTTGCAGGAACCACCGGTAGGGAACACGGGCCCCATTTCCTTTAGTGGAGGTGAGAGAATTGCTACTGAACAGCAAACATTCCAGGAGTGCTTGTTGGATGACTGCACAGATGGGAGATAACATTTTGAAAGAAAACCTTCAGATACTTGAAAAGAACAAGTTGTTCTCCTGATCCAACCTAACCAGGGATGCTGGCCTTGGCAGAATAAAACAAAAACAAATAAACAGAACCATAACACATTTAAAACCATGTGTTTTAGAGCAACCCATGGGGCTTATCTCTCCAGATACAAAGCCGCAGGCTGGAGGCAATACAGACCTTGGACCACCCACATGGATGGACTGTGAAAATGAGGATGGGCCTGCCTGTCCCTGTTAACTCTGCTCCCATCTTATTCCTGGCCATATTTTTATCCTACGGCTTTGCGGAGGGCCATGCAGTTGGGGCGGACGGCACAGGGGTGTGATGAGCACAGCCCCTCAGCACAGGGGTGTGATAAGCTGCCAGGAGTTTCTGGCTGCGTGACAAGGCCCAGCAGAATATCTCTAATCACCTCATTACTGCTTCACCCCATCATACGGACACTTGACTACCTCTCTGATATTTTATGTAATTCTCCAAGGGTGACGTTGCTTTTCTGCAAGTGTGAAATGATTTCTGTAACCAGTTTAATACTGGAAATTGATTTTATCAAGCATGTTATGGTAAAAGGGTCTTTAGCAGCTTAAGACAATGAGACATGGCTAAAAGCATACAGTAGACAAAATTGAGCCTGTTTTGTTACCATATGTCTTATTGTGTGCCGACTTTTGACCTGGAACTTACTCTAAGATGCATGATGTTCTCCACAAGAAATGGCTTAATAGAGAATCAAGATGGCGGAATGGGGTAAGGACACGTTTAATCAGACGGAGAAACATTTAATCAGGATGAAGCAGAGAGGACATATTTCAGGAAATAGGAAAGGACAGAACAACAGCAGAGCGGTACCTGGAGACTGACAGACACAGGAAAGCAGCGGGCACAAGGGTGTGGTGTTGCAGTGAATGAAACTCCAGCACGGCGATCTGAACTCCAACAGCAGCCAGAACTCCACCAGCAACCAGGTGGGAAGGGACTTTCACTGGGAGCTTGGGAGGTGAACCCAGACAAAGTACTGTCTGTCCTGCTGGTCCGTTGGATTTGACCAGGAGCAGATACAGAGCAGCAGATCCCAGGCTGGCAGTGTGAGAACAGCGAGAATTTCATAGCCCAGTCAGCCCCCTAGAGCTGAATTGTTCGCCATTTTGCCTAAGGAGGAAAAGGCAAGGGAAAGGACTGAGCATGCTCTGAGCGGGGAGTGAGCTCATTTCTGACTCAGTGAACTGCAACAATGTGCCATTCTACGGGTTCCATCCGGGGCAGGTCTGGGTAGCCCTCAGATCTGACAGCCAGCAGATCAAGAACTGTTGTGGTAGCACGTTGGGCGCCATT